TATTAGGTCGTAAATTGGCTGTTTTGATAACTGGTCCAAACAAGAATTTCCCCTAGAACTGAGTATATATGTGTGCACTTGTTATATGATATATTTGATTGAACTTTGATTATTACGTGGTACTGCATATCTATCTAAATCTATAGTCAGATGAATTGTTGCAATAATCATGTACAGTAAAATGTCAACATTTTTCTTCAAACTAATCAAGTCAGATTGATGAGTATTTTTATCGGTTGTATCATTATTTGATCAAGTAGCTTATAATATTTTCTAATTTAATTTCAGGTCGTCTTATTAATTGTGCTTTCACACTTCACTTTAATCCTAAATTCGATACTTTGGTAGAGGCTGTTAAGGATGCAACTAATACCGGTATTAAGGTATGCTTATGAATAATAATATCTCTTTAATTTATTCACATGTATGCATAGTTGGTATTTGATGGCGCTTAGCGAATAAATTAATGGTAGCGGTCTGAAAATCGAGTTGTCTTTTTAATACATCAGGTGTTAGACTTCCATTCACTGAATTAGGAGCAAATATCCTTGTGTACCTTGCGTCAAAGAGATTATCTATCAAACATTTAGTTGATTTGACTCAAAGCCTAGTACACAAAGTTATCAGCCAGTCAGACTAACAAAGTTGTACTTCTTAAATCACGTCAAAATTATATTTTATATTGTATTATGTCAAAGAGTAGAATGTAGACGGAACTAAACAGACACGGAGTCTGTGTTTCAGTGAGCGAATGTTTGGTTTTTAGACTATTGTAACTAACTCAAATTGGACCAACTTATGGCTGATAAACTTGGCGAAACTGTGATGCAAGTTTAGGCACTCCGAGTGATTGCACTACTACGAATACATTCATTCTTTATTTTTCGGGTAGTGCTGAGCGTAGTACTGATGTTTGGGCGACCAAGATAAGAAACAAGTGTTTTTAAAGGTAGGATATTTCAGTCTTTCTATTTTATGATACGTTTGAATCATCAGTCACTAACTTTGGAAATCACACTATATTTGGATTTACTATTGATTTGTGACCATTATTTCTATAAATTTAAATACGCATAGTCATGAATAACTTATTTTGTCTGATACTAGGCAGCTGGTATTGACGTACGTTTGTGTGATGTTGGAGCAGCTATTCAAGAGACAATGGAGTCCTACGAAGTGGAATTAGATGGAAACACTTACCAAGGTAAATCGCTCACTATCATGCTTTGAATGAGTTATTCTTTTGAGAAATTAATCCAAGTTTCCGTTATTTCTGTTTATTCAATTATTTGTTTTTACTGTGAATGAAGCAAATAAAAATTAGACACAACTTTCACGTCTGCCACGTAATATTTGTCTAATGGAAAACAGACGAAATTTCACTTATCTATAAATATACATATGTGTATATATATTTCGTCGCAATTTCTTTTGTGATTCGTGCAAAGGACTATCACAAATAGCTGCAACTTCTGTTGAAACTGATGTGATAACATTAGAATGTAATATGTGGCCCTAAATATTGCTGTGATTTCTTTCCAAATTCACAATCTCCTTGTAGTTCATTGAACAATAGTCCGACTGGTTGCTGACATCCTTACGCTGAAGCACTAGATACAAGTATGTCGTTGAAGTATAGAGATACGCCTGACAACCTCTAACTACCTGATCGATGAATATTTGGAAGTTTCGAGCTGTATTAGTTTATCCGACGCTTAACGGAGTCTCGTGAAAACAGAGTAAAGAAAACCAGGCTGGTTTTTGATCTGGACGTGGATGTATAGACGAGATCTTCATACTACGTCAGGTCCAAGAAAAAAGACATACGTTCAGCCGTCTTACAATAATAGTACTTCTCGACCTCAAAGCGACATTCGACACAAAATCGCTTGCGATTTTGCAGGTGCATCCACTCTCTGTATTCTTTCGAATTCTATCCCTCGGATTTCCTCTCCAACTTTATCACTGTCTTCCTAAAGTTATCTCACTGAACTATACTTCTTGAATAATATATTCCTTCTCTAATATTCTCCATCACCAGTAATTCTTCTATTATCTCCACCATTATGGGATTAGAAGAGACAGTGACCTTTCTATGCTTATGGCAACCTGACGTGACGTTCGTACGTACGAAGATATACGTTGTAATTGACTTACTGACTGATACGAGAGCCATTCGCAAAAATTCTGATGAAGTGATGAAGACCTTTTTCTGCATATCCTCATGCGCAAAGATAATATGGCAATGAGCTGTAACAAGATCAATGTGCGAAAAGATCAAGGCATCTTACATATCGTTACAAATGTCATGGATATGTGGTACTGGATAACTATTTGTCTTCTATGGGCTTCACTACAGATCTAACTGTGTGAATAATTTTGAAGCATGAATATTTATGTTGACTATGAGTTCGTGCAGCATTTCCATTTCGTAATTTTGTTACTTTTATCCAGTTAAATTGATTGTTTAAAATTTTACTGGTTAGTTATTTGTAGACGTTATTCTTTTTAACATATATTATAATAACTGGTATGATAAATTACTGATTATTGTTGTATCCTTTCAGTGAAACCCATACGTAATTTAAATGGTGGTTCTTTGGAGCCTTATCGATTTTATGGTGGAAAATGTGTGCCAGTCGTACGCGGACCGGACCAAACTCGTATGGAGGTATTTGCTCTAATCATGTGTAGTTTTCACGTTATTTTCATTTAAAATTACATTGATAACTTTTTGTACTTACCTGTTTTGTTATGACGTGTGTTTTTAAGGAAAATGAATATTATGCGATCGAAACATTCGGTACTACAGGAAAAGGTTATGTTATCGATGGGGATGAAGTTATGTATTTTATGAAGAACTTTGATGTTGGATATGTTCCTCTTAGGTAATTTTAATAACGTTACGTTTCTAGTTTACTAATGTTCCGTTAATGTGACTGTGTAATTATCTCAGTTTTGAAAAAGTCGGATACTGTTTGGCAATGTAAACTAGTACATGAAAAGTTGTGCATGTACTGTTAGCTTCGTTTCTGTCTCTCTGTAATTCTGAGTTCAGTGTTACCCCGCCCCACTATCCATAGCTTTGCAACTCATCCTGTCATTTTGTCCTTCCCATGATAACTTTGTCGGTTATAGTCTGCGAGCTACAACAACTACAGCTTAGTTGACTTGTGTTCAAACATAGTTCTGCAAAGTTCCAAGTTTGTGTATACGTAGTTCAATATCTAATGGTGTGGAATTAGTCAGTACAATTGTAGAAAATTTGCTGGTTCTTATAGAACTGGTATGTTTGTTATTCTGTTTTGAAATGTACAATCTTTTCACTTTTTCCCTTATTTAACAGGTTAGCCAGATCGAAACAACTGTTAAATGTAATTGATCGTAATTTCAGTACACTTGCATTTTGCCGTCGTTGGTTAGATCGTCTAGGTGAGACAAAATATCTGATGGCCCTCAAAAATCTATGTGAAGTGGGGTTGGTGGATCCATATCCCACAATGTGCGATCAACGTGGTTGCTATACTGCTCAATGGGAGCATACCGTTCTACTAAGACCAACATGTAAAGAAGTTGTATCTCGTGGGGAGGATTACTGAGTAGCTTCGGAGTTTCCAATTCAGGGTTCACTATAGACGTTATAAATTTTGTTATTTCACTGAGATTTATTTTCATTCGAACGTGTATCCAGGTTATTATTTGATACAGCATTTGACTATGTCTATCATCATTGTTTTGTATTTCCAGCACATACGATTTTCATTTCTCTTCCCTGTATTTTGTAACATTAATTGGTGTTTTATTTTAGCGGGAAGGTTATAGAGTGTATGTGAATTCTGAAAGTTATGTACTTATTCGACGCGACATATTCTACAATGTGGCTTTTGTTAGCCTTTGTTTCTGTGAATGCATACGATTTCCCCTGTGGTTAGACGGTCTCAAATAACTACGTTACAGGAGTCACGCCAGTTTACAGGCTAGATCAAATTTACACAAATGCTTTCACAATTACTGTAAAGTTATGGCAGTTAAATTAAGTATAAGAGTCAGTTTCTGATTGCATATTTACACCATGTCACTGACAGAAACAGTATTATACAGCCACATTTTCAATATTAGTGTACAAATAAGGAAGGAAGGTGCACAATAGGTTCTTTTGGCGATTTGCCGAGATCAATAGTGAATTTGTTGGGAAAGGTCATATGGAACGCGCTCGATACGAGCTGTGATCCAGACAGTCATGTACATAGGGTGCATGTTCCCTAGAGTAGCCAAGGATTTCCCACCGTGAATGGGGTTCTGAAAAGGAGAAGAGAGAAAGAAAAAGGCAGCAGTGTGGCAAGTGTATATATTTAACCAAAGCACTACTTAACCTGTCATGTTGAAGTAGTCAATACAGTAGTAAGTCAAGATAAAATTCATACTGACCACTTAAATTAAAGTAAATTATGGGAATATAAGAATATAACACACAGATAAAGGAGTACAGCAAAAAGAAGTGAGGGTTGTGCAGTGTCAGGTGGATAGAAGAGAAGTCGAAGTAATAAGCTGGATTTATGTACGTCGAAATCGAAAGAGTAGAGTTTGTAAAAATAAAACTTTGATGAATAATATTTCGCACTGTCTAACTGTTTTTATTTTTATTATTGAATGCCAACCTCTAAGTCATACTGTAAGCGCCTGAGTAAGAATGTTGCGGGTGTCTCGACAGAATAGCGACCTCAGCATAGTTTTGGAAACATGAACCACAGAGGTAGCAAGCGTATAAGAGCAACCTCAGTGTTACTGATTAGTCGTCTCATCAATCTAAAGAGCCGAAAGCAAATAAAATGTTCTGCCCCACAAACATGGGTTGTTAGAAGTTATCGCCCACACCATCAATATTTGCTGGTCAGTAACTCCACCCTCTCTCATTTTGTGTTGTTAGGCTCATGTTAAATGTTTAGAGAAGCTGTTGAGTTCTACTTGGTGTTCTGTGTCTCGCATCCTGTTGAGAAACACTATTTCTGCAAGTTCCTTTCACAAACTTGTCTGGCTGTTACAACTTATGAACTATCGGCTAGGCATCAATACTATACAGTTAACAGTTATGGAGAAATAGTACGGATTTGCAAACAAGATATAAGCATTTAGAATGTAGTGGGGAAGATGTACTTAACTAGCTAAGCAGGAGATATAAAGAGTATCACGGTTAAAAGTTGAGCAATAGATAACACTAAGGGGTCAAGGTAAGTCAATAGCGTGTAAGTGAGAACAGTATAATTGATAATACGCAATGTGAAACTCACACAGTTGTAAGTGTTGATAAGGTTGCGCCCAGGAGAGTAGAGTGCAATCTAATCAACCAGTTTACAGTCACGTCATGGTTTCAGCAGGTTATTATTACTTTTCGTTGTTGAGCAAGCTGTTATGTGTAAGAAATAAACACCAATCACTCAAATAATTTGGAGTGGAAAGAATGTGTGTGTCGACAGATGGAGCTTCAATCACATGTTAAGGTAACGAGTTTCACTGATTAACGACTCGATGGGAAAGTCGTTAGTCAGCTGACAAGTAATTTGTTTCGCGTTTGTGAGCCGTTTTTGAATGCTCTAGTGAAATCTCTGTTCTGGAAAGCAGGAAAAAGGAGGAAATGTCAAGTGTGAATTGTGGATTCTAAACAGCTGAACCCAATATCAATGATCTCAGTATATCTAGTGAAGAATCGACAGTGGATTCTGATTTTGAAAGGTTAGAATTTGAAAGAATACAGAGAGTGTATGCACCTGCGAAATCGCAAGCGTTTTTCAGTTGGATGCCGCCTTCAGGTCGAGAAATACTACTACTGTGAGACTTTTGAACGTGTGTCATTGTTCTTGGACCTGACGTAGTGTGAATATTTAGTGGTGAGAGATACCAGATTGTCTATGATCACCACTACTAATACGGTCAAAGGTAAAGTTGCAATTTCGGAGTACTTTCAGGCTCTATTCCTTGTAGTTTTATTATATACTACTAAATTTCTTCTTTCCTAAACCCCTTTTTTGTGTATCTCGTATTCTATTTATCTCGGTATTCACCTCCTAATCTTCCTGGCATCATGTCAAGTATTGAGGTCGCTAGTACACTTTACACTGTAACAACCAGGATAACTTATAGAGGCATAAACCCCGGGGTCGATAGTGCATCGAAAATCCCGATATCGTGCGAACCGGTTGCTAAAAAACCAAAACGTCGGTCAATAGTATGCCTCTCAGTGTCCATACATTAGACCGCTCAACCCAGATGTAGAATCTCTTTTGAATGTTTTGTTTTTTGGAAAATCCCTCCATGTATATATATATTTGTTTTATGATATGACTGACTCTTTCTGTTGACATTTTGGTACTCTATTTGATTCCATTTTGAGATTTTATCATTGTATATTGTTATTATTTCCATATTTCGTACTTATATTGAAGTTTTTATGTTTGCTTCTGAACTGTACACATGTTGTTTAAATTTGATATTTAGTATGGCTACAGCCATATTTAGATTTGATACCGTGGCAGTTAATACTAGTATCACTTATTCTTTTGGATTCAGATACCCATCAGGGTAATTTGGACTTGGAAGGTGTATTAACTGTCAGGTAACTGTTTGTATTTCCATTTTATTATAAAAATAGACCGCTTTATTGTGTTTTGATAATGGATCGCGTTCGACCTACAACTACTGGAATCAAAGTGAACTGCTAGGGTAGAAAATTCATCTACAATCTGACAATTAATAAGAATAAGGAAACATTTAGAATTTTAATTGTTTACAATATTAAACTTCTTGGTAGAAGAACTTTGGATTACTTATCGTTCTTTTTTTGATCAAACTGTATTTTGGAAAACGATTTTCTGATTTCGGATATTTATTAACGAGAATTTACATGTGGAATTTCTATATTTTGTATTTGTTATTTATCTTCCGTTGAACTTCAATTAACCATGAGCAGCCGAAAGAAAACAAACACGAAGAGGGTGGAAGAGCATGAAGAATCCCGAAATGTTTGGCAAGTCGTTTATGATTCTTCTTGTTTAATGGGTTCACTTTCCACCAGTAGTGATTGTAAATGGATTTCTACGGTGGCCGTTCCAATGGGTTCCAATAGGTGCACTCCTGAACTCGTTTCTCCCAGTCCAATGTCCAGATAAAGCAAAAATTCTAGGAGAAAGTGGTCTTATTAATAAAAACATGGAAATACAAAGCAGTACCTGGAATTAATACACCTTCCAGGTTACAATTACTCCGAAGAGTATCCGAAACAAAGATAGATAAGTGACGTTAAGTCCAACAGCTACCGTATCGATCCAAATATGGCTGTAGCCATATTAAAGATCAAATTTAAACAACATATATACAGATCAGAAGCAAACACAAAAACTTCAATATAAGTACAAAATATAGAAATAATAACAATATACAATGATAAAATCTCAAATTGGAATCAAATAAAATACCAAAAATGTCAACAGAAAAAGTCCGTCATGTCATAACAAAAATATGTAAACATGGAGGGATTTTCCAAAAAACAAAACATTCAAAAAGGATTCTACAGTGATGTTATGTTTGATACTTATTATTGTAAGTCACCCTTTGAAGGCATTAAGGAACAAAATTTGGACGAGAATTCTAAGGTACCAGAGAAGGATCAGATGTTTAGGACACCGGTAGTAGCCTTGGAATTACTAAAGGTTGAACTTCTATTCTTTGACGGCAAACACCGAGACTACTTTAGGTTCGTTAGACAGTTTGAGACGCTTATAGAACCTAGAGTAAGGGATGATAATTCGCGTTTATTATATTTAATTCATTACTGTAAAGGAAAAGCAAGAAATGCGATTGAAGGTTGTCTTATAATGGATCCACAAGTGGGATATAAGAGAGCTAAGGCAATTTTAAAGCAGCTCTTTGGACAGTCGCATGTGATAGCCCGTGAAACTCTGGAGGACTTGTTTAGAACCGTGAATGCAGATTATAATGATCCTGAACAATTGACGAATTTGGCGATTAAAATGCAGAATGTTGCTCTGACCTTAGAACAGTTAAATTGTACAACGGAACTTAATTCCCTGGTTACTTTAGAGCGAGTAGTTAGGCTCTTACCTCATCAAATGCAAGCCCAGTGGGCGGAGCTGGGAATCAAGTGGGACGAAGAGGAAAGAGAACCTAATTTCAATGAATTGACGGAATTTATTATGTCTCGTTCTAAGATAGCTAGTAGTAGATTCGGAAGATTAGCTAATCGTGCTAAAACAGGACATGGTACGGAAGCTATTAGTGATCAGCGTGCGAGACATGAGAATTTTTCAAATGTATTTAAACCTACTTCACACCCGGAATTTAAGAGAGTTGTCAATTGTATCAGAAAAGTATACGCTGTTGAAAACCGAGTATGTGACCGCGATGATTTAAAACCCCTTGATGCGTATCCTAGTAAGAAGCCGGTTTGTGTAGCAGATAAGATGGCTTTTTTAAGTATGGAAAAGAAAGAAAAAGGCGAAAAGGGTAGGCATCAGGATGGATCCGAGGTGTGTGATGGTAAAAGATATTAGCAGCTCAGCGCGTCCTGCTGATGTTTGTTTACGGTCAACGGATGGACAGTTGTATACTGGTCCAAGTAGTCATAGCAACATTAATAGTGTTAGTGAAAGTGGTAGCTTTGCTTTAAAGCCTGCATGCCAACTATCTTGCAACTCGTCATTAACTATGAATAGTCGGAACATCATTGTGGACAACAATAACGTCAAGGTGGAAGTGAAACCTGACGTATCTACTAATAATAGCGTAGTTGATGTGAATCATATACATGATGGTAAC